AAACAATTACTAGCTCAAATCTCGGTTCACTAAGAACTTTTGTTTCACAAAACGCTGGTCATTTCGACCTATTTACATGATAAGTGAATTGAGCAAACAATTGGTTAATACCCTCGAGAAATATGCATTTCAAATAAACGATGAAAATAAATTAAGTTGTTAGATGCCACCAGGAGTTCATAATTGTCTATTAAGCTACCTCCTGTAACTTTGTAATTTATCTAATTGTCTCCCGGCCTAACTTGGGCGTGGGAATATGGGATTTTTGATACAGAATTGCTTTCACAGCAAGGAGTATCAAGTACATTATAGGATTTTTTTTGAGTATTTGACAACACAGCGTGTTGTTTTAGAAGGGGCGGAAATATTCACCTATCGACTCGTAATTTTAGTTCAGCATATTTCCAATTTTACCGTCCTCTTTTATCAAAGCAACGTTCAGCGTTCACGCCTGAGAGCAGACTTTGTTTTTGTGTTTTGTTAATAAACATTATTTAGCCATTAAAACCAGCGCTTAGTTGCGTGTTATTAGATCAGCTTTGTTTTGTTGAGACTATGAAAACCGCAAAGCCGTTTAGTCGGTTGCGGCATATCTATAATCCAAATTACCCAATGCACGAACCCTCTCAGTTTTGCCTTCAGAGTAACAGTCTCCATAAAAGCCGTTGTTTGGGAAGCGGAGCGAGCCCATGGTTCTGGAGAAAAAAAGTAGGAGAGAGATCTCGAAATCGAAGGAAACTGATCGATGCACACCGTGACCCAAGAATCAATCAGATTCATTAAATTAGGTCGTTAGCCAAGAATATCACTTAATTAAAAGCAAGCTTTTTTTATGGACATTTTATATAACAAAAAGTCACTTAGTAATCTAGATCGGTGAAATCAAACTCTCAAAGTATTTCTAATTACTTGTCATTTACCACAGAGGCTGGGAGTGCTTTTCGCACGCGATGATTGGGTTGTTCGGAAGTGTCTCACGAGCACTAGACTATTCACCTCTAAGCAACAAAAGAGACAAGATCGCGCTTCAACAGTTGAATCTTCGATCAATTGTCTTCGAATCGACAGAAATAAAAGAATTTTTTGGTTTCTGTGTGGTATATACCATTACACTAAAACAGCTGTTCATCTCAACTTCGGTGAATTAACTGTTAATCATTCATGGTGATTAATTCTCACGGAAATCAAACCTGTGACATCTCACTGAAAACGATACAGATGTTTGCGGTGTGTTTCGGCAGAATTCTAACTCAGTACTGAAAAATAACTGAATCGTAGATAATTAAAGTTTAATTAGTTAAGCTATGATCCTCTGTGGCTATAATCTTACGGCGTGAGAAACTACCGAAGTTTGTCTGTCCCCAATTGAGAGATTTCAGTTTGTTTCCTACTTCTTGCTCTTATCTGACCCGAGGTTACAAGTTCCATATATGACCATATGTGGATAAAATGCACAGCGAAGTCTTGATAATGGCATCGCACTCTTTTCGTGCAAATCCGACAAACAAAAGGGAGTATATGCCATGCGGCCGCGGGTGGTTAACTACAAGCGGTAGTCGGGATTTATAGGGTGAAATGTATAGTCTATTTGTGGTATCCTTAGTCTCCCTCGCAGCCGTTTTTTTGGATGTCACGCAACGCTCCCCCAAAAGAGCGGGGGAGCGTTGCGTGACATCCAAAAAAAACGGCTGCGAGCGCGAGGGAGACTAGGGTATCCTATCTTAATATCATTCTCGGAGAGAATTTTTCTGAATACGAGTGCCTTCGAAAGTTAAATTTATTACCTTTGAAGTATCGAAGAGAAATTAATGATTTAGTCTTCTTTTTTAAGTGTCTTAAGAATACATATAAGTTAAACATTTTCGATCATGTATCGTTTCGCTTTTGTACCAAACCGCTTAGGAATGTCGAGGATTTAACGCTTGATGTTCCTTTCAACAGGACTGACGTCTTTAAGACTTTTTTTTTGTTCGGATTTGCTGACTGCGGAATGAATTTCCTCAGTATAAGAGAGTCACAAACCTTGTCAATCTTTCGTAAGAATTTGGTGGACTTTTATTTTGATAAGTTTAATGTAGATTTTTCTAATTTAAATTTAATCTTTTTAATAAATGAATAACATGATTCTTATATCAAGAAGAAATGTGTTTCAGAAACCCTGTTTTTTTTTCTGATCTCTGCCGTTTAGAATTATTCTCAAATTTTTTGAGACTTACCGATGTTTGGGACTCTATGGGGTGGCCTAACCGTTCGAAAATTCTCCACTTTAAAACTCGGGAAGCTGCCATTTTGAAAGCAACCAAACAACATGGCCGCACACGCAAAATCACAATGCGCAGTGGAAAAAAAACATCCACTGTCCGGTTAAAAAAAAAATTAAATTTTTGTCAAAAATACCTTTTTGGTTGCTCCTGATCACGGGTCATGCAAATTTACGAGAGATGGAAAGACGAGGTTTTAGACACAAGTAATCGGTCGTAGCGAATACTATTAAGATTCAACTGAAATGGTGACCCTTGTTGAAAAATTTTTCGCCCATTTAAGACGATTTTTGCAGAGCCTGGTTACTCTGTGGAATCTCAAAATGCGGGGAAAATCACCTTCTTATTAAAATACTTTTTAATGAAGGAGATAAAAAATTAATTGGTTTGTAGACTATAATTCTCCTTAAATACTTTACACCGGCTATCATCAGTATGTATTTCCTCCAGGCGCTGTTTGACAATCAAGAGTTCGTTTAGTTAGGGATCGTTTTCTTTATCCTCATGACTTGAATGTGTGATTTAGGGGATGATAAGGTTAGGAGAATTTAGATGCTAGTCAATCTTAGAGGACAAAAGGGTAACGAAAAGCCACTCTCTAACTACTTTAAAATAACTTCGACCCCTTTACATGAACAATAGTGAAAATCATAAGGTCTTTAGTGTGCTGAGTTACACGTCTCCCTCAGGGAAGACTGAACGTATCTACTGGGAGATATTGTTTGATGCAATTAAAGCCAAATTCTCAGACACAAGATTACACTAAAGTGGGTGGCATACGTACAGCACTGAGAGTTGATCTCTGGATTCTGTGAATGAAAAGGATATGTCGTATCAGCATGTTAATGACATGCACGGCTGTGTTATCATTAAAACTATCTTTTTTTCTCCCCTCTGTATCAAATTGTTAGATTCTAGAAAGTTAGAAGAGCTGAATATGGCATCTTCTTGCTGCTGTTAACCTCCTTACTATTTCAGATATTGGCGAGAAAATTTTAAAAACGTCCCGGCATGCTGTGATCGAGGCTACACGTGATCTTATTAAACACAAAACCGTCTGGTCGGAATGATAAATCACTGCTGACGAAATAAGGTCCGGGAAATTCTTACTAGAAGGCTAAAATTATTGAAAAAAAAAAAAGCCAAAGAATCAGTTATAGCGCTTAAATATTTTTAATCCAATTTCAATCTGAAATCTAAAACCAAACTAATAAACATGGCACATCGTGGTTGGAAACCATGGCCTCCGCGCTTCAGTGCCTGAATTGTCAGACATACAAGTGATTTTATCATCGTATAGATATACTACTGTGGTGATAAGCATTTCTATTTTGTATCAGTATAAAGAGTTTGTTATAACAGAAGCAAACCCGAACAAGGAATCACTCCTGAAACTCGCAGCGGCGAAATTATCTCTGTCATTTTCCCACAGCGCTTGAACAGAAGCGAACATGCCTTCATCCCTCACGGATCCAATATAAGCTTGGCACACAACTTTACACTGAACGTTTTCCGTCTCCTTCATAGACTCCACAAGAGTTTTCAAAATCTTACAAATGCTTTTACACACACGATCGCACTTTTCCCGCTTATACTCCTTCATTGATAACAGATGCGCGCGCAGCACATGCTTAATAAGGTCATGTAATTTGACATCTTCCTCTTTGAAGAAAGCTTGTTCGGGGACAGGCTTGGTTTGAGACTCTTTACGCTCTAAATTCACTGTCTCTTCTACTCTTCTCTTCTCTTCGTTTTCAATGGTAGTTGTCACTTGTTGATTGGGTGGCAGTTGTGGGTCAGTGTTTCGTCTCTTCCGTTCTTTTTCGCTTGCCGGTTTATGAAACATTGTCAAAGACAACTTTCGAGTCCTCTTTGTTTCTTTCTCGTTAGTGGCTTCTTGTTTATTCGCACCAATCGATTGACTCCCAGCGAAAATTCCATGCAAAGATAGCGGCGAAATTCTTTTAGTAATGCTGAGTTTTCTTCTTCTTTCAGAAGGCACGGGGGGCCGAATTTCATCATTCTCTTCATTGACTCCATTTCCGCTAAGATTAGAAGCGTTGAACGGAAACAAGTCAGAAATTTTCTTAGACTTTTTCATTGCTGTCTTTCGACCATCTTCCTCTTCGGCTTCGCTTAACGAATGGTAACTTGCTCCTTCGGTGGTCCTCGAGGTCGATCCGGCATTAAACGAAGACGCCCTCGAGGTTTTTCGGTTACCTGTCGGCGCTGATGTGGTGTTAGCTGTATCGCTCTCATCAACAGTCTCTAGAGCGACTACCGAACTACAAGTTGAAACTTCAGAAATAGTGTCATCGTTATCGTCCGTAAAAACGTTGACAGATTTCATTTTTTCCATCAGTAAATCTCGCAAAGAGCTGTCCAGTTCGGTAGAGTCCACATTTGGTAGATTCTTAAGGTCGGGCTCGATTAGCGGCCTTAACTCAAACCCTGGGCCAGAATCAAAAGCCAGCACCGGAGACACTTGGACATTGTTGTTAGAGGCTGGGAAAGGATTGGTTTCTTTGCTGTGATATGAAGTAATTTTCATCAGTGGTATTTTAACTGTAATTTGGCGATTCATGTTGGTCTTTCGCGCTGTAGTTTATCGACGAACAACAGTTTTCAATTAGTGTACCTCTCCTGTTTATGTATCAAGTTGCTCCACTGCCAGGACGTGGTTATATGTGTCCTTGTTTGTCAGCAGTCGATGAACCTTGTGGAAGGTTAATGAATTGAATAAAATGTAAGCTTATCCATTACGTGCCATCAACGCACCTGGGATCACAGTGTGATATCAAAAAAATATTCTGCGATTCATTTGCTGGGCCGCAAAGGCGGAGGAAAAGAGCTCTCGAGGTTCAAACCTCAAATCCCACCACTTACGGAAGTGAGATCACTTTTCAAAACGGCCCGCATAACAAGATATCTCAGTAGCCACGTCCTTGAAGTGTTATCCATCCATGTTTTTCTGTTTAGCTGTATTAATAGCCTTTCACACTGTCTAAGCAATTACCTCGAGGCTGTTACGGTCATGAATGCCAAGTAGCGGACATAGGAACAATGAACATATATTATGTCAATGATTGTTTTAGTATCTTATCTACCCGAGCCAATACATGTTATCACCTCTTATTTCTCAGATGCTGCAATCTGTGTTATATATCTGATCTTCGATGGTCAATTTGAGCGCATGTACTTCATTGGCAAAAATTCGAAATCGGAGCTCAAATCAAATAATGTGTAAATTTTCAACAACCATTATTTGTTTACAAAACGCCTGGAGCGAATTCAGGAGATGTTTTACTGTAAAAGGCGACAGGGGTTTGCGGCATTTTAACGAGTTTTGATTCGGTTTGCGACCATCTGGATCCATATATGGATCAGTCAATGATGCAGGTATTTCGTGACGGTCACATACTAAAACAGCTACGTTCAATCAGTTTAGATTAACTGCTAAAATGGTGCCAAAAGATCTAAAGATTCTTTCCAGGAGCTCAGTCAACCCAAAATTTTCAGCAACGAAACAATAGCGCACACGATGGTTTCTTTTCAGTGTACAAACAAAACATTTCTGATGCTCCTCATTTTTTCAAAGATTGCTTGCAAAGATAAACAAACAGTTTGCTGATCGATGGCCCGTTACTCGAAGTATCCGGCCGAGACAACTGTTTTCGGTAATCAAGTTTATGTATCATTTAACCTTCTTTTGCATCAAAGTAGCAAAAATTATTGATTTAACAAGTTGTTCAATTACCTTGAACATCTTTCCCTCGGATTACGCAGGAAAAAGCAGTCAAATTTTAAAATGACAGAGTTGTTTTCAAAACGGCCGAGCGCGTTATCATTGTGGAGTCAGTCTCTTGACAAACCAATTAGCTAAATACTTAAACATATGTGAAGATGTATTTTCTTAAACACCAAACGTCTTGCGGAACAAATTAACAGATAAAAGGATGACCGGTAGACGAAAGGCGACGAACAACTGAAAATAGCTGGAGGGGCGAGCACAACTGTGATCGCGACAAATAGTCTGCGCCCTTGAAAATTGAGTGCGCCATCTTGAGTTTCAAGAGCAGAAAAATTCAATATAGCTGTGAAGCTGTTGATCTGCTCGCCTTCTGAGCTAATGTCTGTGCTATCAGCGTAGAGAGTAAGGAAACATTTTTTCCTTCATATCTTTTCTGTCACTACGAATATAAAATCAGCCGTGAACTAAACTATTTTCAATACTCATAAATCAAAAATAATACCTACATAGTAATATTTGTGTGCTTTTTAACGATATTTTTCTGGCACAGTGGGGAGGGGTGACATCCTTGGAGGGGGGGGTAATTGTGTGACAACAACTCAAGCATGAGGAAATTGTCAGACGTACAAGCTCCCAAGACCAAAATATCAACTCTCTGCACTATCTCCTTACATTTCTCACAATTGTAGCTCTAATAATTTGGTGCAGTAAGTCAAACAATGTCAACTTCTCAATTTAACTTTTTCTCATTACCTTTCTGCTCATCCTATACCTACATTGTAAGGAGAAACTTGTTTTAGGTCAACACTTGCATTTGAAATGTGGTGCAGTAGTGGGGTAATACATAACTCAACTTCAAACAACTTGTACAGTACTGGTTGAGGTAACTCTGTGTAATTTGTCTATCTAGACCTCATTCATGAGGCAACTCTCAGCTACAACAAAGACTAGTAAAGGTAGAGTAGGTGAAGTCTGTACTCCTGTTATGTGATTCATGTAGTTAGAGCTTATTTTGGTTTCCACGGTTGCTCCCCCTTGCTCTTCATGAGGCTTCCCTGATAACTTGCCTGGACCCATTTATATCCCTGGGCTGTGTTGTTCAAAGCTGGGTCAAGATAACCCAGGGTTAGTGTGAATTCTGATTTCAGATAAAAAAGCTTTCTCACAATTTGATTATTGAACGTTCTAAAAAGAATGGAGAAAGTTATCCCCAAAAAAGGGTACTTAAACGAAATAATAAAGAAACCTGAATTAAAATTTCACCCTGGATTAATACTAATTGGCCTGTGAACCAACTGGGTCCAGAGTGGAGAAAAGCATTGTGGGAGTAAAGGGTTTTGTCCAAGAATACATCACAGGGACTTGGCCAGAACTTGAACCCAGACCTCTCCACCTAGAGTCCAAAGCACTGATCATTAGGCCACTAAGTCCTTCACAATGAAAAACAGAAGATTTATTAAAATTTTGAGAAAGAGAAACTGGAATAAAAAAATAAAAGAAGTCCAAAGGAGTGAGTCCAGAGTTCTGATGAAATTATATTTTGGTGGCTAAATTAAATATTAAATTTTTTATCTCAACATTTTTTAATAATATAATTGAATGTCACAATGATGTTTTTTTTTGGTCTCCATTTTACAAACCAAGTATCTGGTCTCTTTCGCCAAACATCGTTACGGTTGTCACATGACGCGAGAAGGAGGCGACAATTTCTACTCAGTATCCGGTGGACAGTTCGCAAGCTCAGCTTCATTAACATCAAAATCTTTCATTGCCCTTTCCAAAAAGTACCAATGTCCTAAAATTCCAACGTCGATCACACGCTCAAGGAATGTCTTCCATCTTGGCTGGACATATGCACAGTGTTTTTCGTACAAATCACAGCCAGGTCCAAACTCAGTCACATAAACGACAGACAAAAATCCAAAAGTTTGTATTTGTAACCTTTCCTGATTGCGATATTTCAGAATATTCTGCACGTAACTGTCCGAATTTGGATTCCTTATCAAATGGCTGATCTGTAGCAGTTCATTAGAGCATTCTAGCACAGCATCTTCATACGAATTCACATCTGGATTTTGTTCGTAAACGTAGTAAAGTCCTCCGAGGGATGCTAAGGTGCAAGCTGAACGGAAGGGTTTTGCTTTTGTATACTGGTACAGATCCTGAAATACCAGCTTGTAATCTGTGAAGACATTATAAGCTGACCTTCCCAGTTTTCTTTGCTTTAAATTTTCAAACTGCGGTAGAAACATGTTGTTTATACGGTTTACATTTCGAAACGCACTCCTCAGTCGAGCCGCCATCTTGTTTACTTCGTACTGAGTACGCATGACCTTTAGAACACAACAGCTAACCTGTTGTTGGCTCACACAGTTTCACGTGGTATTTTAATTGCACAACGATCCACAACAAGTTGTATCAAGCAGAATTTGTCCTTTAAAAATTAAACATGGTACGTATTTACATGTTTTTCCTGCTTATAACTTTATGCTACAATTCACAACTTGCTTTTCACTTCGATCGAGTAAATACTACAATTTTTGCTGAGTTCTGATGTAGATTTGTAAAAATGTCACTGCTTTAACCGGTAGCCAAAGGAAGGAAAGCCCAAATTACACTGCAAGAAAGTTGTGCACCCAAACTCTAGAAAAGCTACAAAGTTGGCGAGACAAGCACATAGAGATGAGAAACTTCAAAGGTACGGTGATATACAAGTTTCTGTTGTCGTTTCAAGTTTCCAAAGCGGTTTGAATTTAATTTATGGAACGATGCCCCTCAAACTCCGCATATTCCGAAGAAAAGTCTCTAAAATAATAGTTAATCTATTTTTTAACCTTTTTTTGTTTTAGAAAAGAACTGTAGGTATAATGAAGCATGGGATGGTGGGAAAATCTCGCCTGATTTGCATTTGTCAAGCAGTCATCAAATATACTAAACAGAGAATAACAAAATTTGCTCAAACAGAATGTTTCAGAATAAATGCAAAACCAACCTTTCTCAAAATAGCTTTGTATTGGCCAAAAGTTATTTCCAAACATTTGCTGCTGATTGATTTCACAAGTTGTTTCTGTGAGCCATTTTTGTTGTTTTTTGATTGCATTTAAGGAAGAAGACTGAGAGGAACTATCTTCTTCAAATAAAAGGTACAGATCACTTGTTCAGCTGCTGATATCTGATGAGTCAGATATGGTTGGTTTTAAATGAGGATCAATGGGTAGAAATTTCCCATTGAGCGCACACTAGATGATTGTTTTTCATTCCACCATTAGAGTGTAACTGGAGAGGTATAGCGTCTGTTTGAGGTCTATGGCAGAGCATTCTGGAAAAGTTGTCAAGTTCCCCACCCTCCAGTTTGCCTTTTTTAAGCTGATCCTTCTCTTTTTCAGTTGGCGAAAAGTTCAGATGGTTTTTTGAGAACATAGATCATGCTAAAGCAGAGTATTCGTATTCTGAAGTGTGTGAACTTATTGAGAGGTAAGATTCAGTTATTATATTTGTATTGATGACTAAACAATTGTTTGCATCTACTGTGCACAATCATGATAAAAATATTTTTTAAAAGTACTTTCATATGCTTTAAAGTTCACTGATTAACAACATCTTTCACTTAGAAATCACCAAGTAGGAGGTGGCGTGGCCGTGTGGTTAGGGTGCTGGACTTGCAATCCGGTGTCCCGGGTTCAAGTCCTCCACTCTGCCACTCACTGGATTTGTTCTCGATTGCCCCTAGTTCAACTCCTCAGCTGCGCTCTGTAAATAGCCCACTGGTCTGCCTCCTGCCAGATGGGATTTTTTAGCTCTTAGTTAGTCTACATTGTGGCTGAAAAGCCCTTAAGGGGGAGCTTCAATTAACGAATATTATTATTATATTATTATTATTACCAAGCTTAAAATTTACCATCTTTATTTACATCATCATTTTGCAGAAGCATCACGTATTGACATTCTCGTCCTAGCAGTATGCAGGAAGTTTGTTGCCTAAACTCAGGACCCAGTTATTTGACAGCCGATTAGTGTTAACTGAAGTTTTAATTTTATCATGGGTTTCTTTATTCCTATGTTCAAAAGCCCCTTTTGGGACAATATTCTCTATTCTTTGAAAAGCATTCAATAATCAAATTCCAGACGGAAAGAAATATACTGAATTTTCCTTTAAAGCTTTCATGTCTGAAATCAGACTTCGTAGTAACTCTGGGTCATCTAAACCCAGCTTTGAAACATCAGACCCAGTGATAAAGCATCCAATATTTTAATTGGAAGGTCTTAGGTTTGACTCCTGTCGGGAGCATTCAGAGTTCATTTTCCTATGTATGCCTGTATTGTTCACTGAATAATCTCATCTTTTACTTCCTGGTTTGAACTCTGAATTTTCTTATGCACTCCCCCTTGACACTTTCACAATTGTCACAGACCCAACTTTATCATGTAACTTGTAGCTCTGAATCAATTTTACATATATATTTTGCAGATATTTGCATCGCTTTGATGAAGAGCTCCAACAAATCAATGAACAGAACAGTATAAAAGGCAGACAAGGCCGGGCTCATGCGTCAAGAGAAGACACACTGACTAATGTTATTGAACGTGAAAGGGAGCTCTTCAACACTTGTGGAATAGGTAGATGAAAATTTCTGAATACCGGTAGTCTTTTGTGCATTTGGAATATTGATGTCTTGTATAACCTTTAGTGTCTTCTCTAGCATCCTTCCTGCAGTGATCTTAGGGGGGAAATGTAGATTAAAAAACTTACAGAATCATTGTTCAGCTAAAATTCATTGACTTGATATCTCATGATTTTTCACTCCAGTCCAACAGTAGGTTAAAATATTTTGCAGGAAGGTGGGAAGGGGTGAGGGGGCATGTGATCACTTTGGGTGGAACTTATCTATAATTGACACCCCTTTGACCATTAAGAGTGACTGCCATCAAATGTCTCATCACAGTATCACCCCTGAGAATAAATGAATTGATCAGCAACTAAAGAATCCCATGATTATTCAATAAATTCTCCTTGTCAGCACCTTAAGAAATGTAAAGAGAGCAGTATGGAGAATATGCATTCTGATGTTAAGGAGTAAAGGGTTGATGACCCTATTTATAAATAATAATAATGATAATAATAATAATAATAATAATAATAATAATCAGTATAATTACTCCTTTTGTAGCTTACAGCTAAATTACAAGAGTGGTCAGGATATAAATCATATCTACACAATAGCATGAAACATTTTACTAAGAATATCTATATGTAATAAATTTGTTGAGACAGTTAGTAAAAGCCATAGCGGGATCATCTCTAAGAGTGCCTGAATGTAGATTGTATCCATGGGACACAGTTGTGTGATAAGGCAGCAAGTTAGCAAGGACACCAGTGTCTCAAACTCTCTGGATAAACTTAGTGCATGCAGTCCTGCTCTAAGAACTTAAGAACTCAATTTTTATTCTCACACAACTTTGTGTAGGGATGTTTTGTTAAAAGAGTATCAATCTTCCATTTGGTACAATGAATATATGAAGTTCATATATTTTGAACTGCGGTATTAAATACGTATGATGTACGATCCTTCGCAGTAGATAGCGCTATTTATGCAATAGCGAAAATCAGACCTGAAAAAAATCAGGCCTGTACGGGATTCGAACCACTGACCTCTGCGATACTAGTGCAGCGCTCTACCAATTGAGCTAACAAGCCAACTGGGAGCAGGCCGTTAAGTTGATTCGTAATAAACCCGTATTAGTATTGCTAATACGGGTTTATTATCGTAACCACTAGTATCGCAGTACCCACTAGTATCGTACCCACTAGTATCGCAGAGGTCAGTGGTTCGAATCCCGTACAGGCCTGATTTTTCTCAGGTCTGATTTTCGCTATTGCATAAATAGCGCTATCTACTGCGAAGGATCGTGCATCATACGTATTTAATACCGCAGTTCAAAATATATGAACTTCATAAATTTATTGTATCTGATTTATCATCACGGGTTTTACCGTTTATTACGAATCAACTTAACGGCCTGCTCCCAGTTGGCTCGTTAGCTCAATTGGTAGAACGCTGCACTAGTATCGCAGAGGTCAGTGGTTCGAATCCCGTACAGGCCTGATTTTTTTTTTCAGGTCTGATTTTCGCTATTGCATAAATAGCGCTATCTACTGCGAAGGATCGTACATCATACGTAATCTTCCATTTCCTATCTTAGCCAAATGTATGTTTTCCTTTTTTTATGATCATATGATAGTTTCATATGTTTTTCTTCTTCATTTATAGAACTTCCAGACCTCACATCTGCAAAAGTACTGGCCCAATTTGGGTAAGTAAAATGTCATGAAATGCAGGTACACACGTGACAAAATATAGCTGGTTAATTTCTGGGATGTCCAATCAGGGTGTTTGCAGACCTCTTCAGCGGAAAAAAGAGAATTTTGAGCTAAAAAATTTGTAAACAGATTGGTTGGAAGAGTGAGGGTATACGTAACGTCTGTAGAACTGTATCTTGCCCGGGCATTTGAATTTTGAAGATTGGTTTGTTCAAATTCCTGCCACCTCCCCCCGTAGGCAAAAATTATATTCAAATACCCCACTCTATTTATTTGTAAAACACGTGATCAGCGATGGTGATATTCTACATATTGACCGAACTTTTAAACCTAGACCTCGTAGCTTCGAATTGATCGGCCCAATCACTTTGATCCGAACATCACTTACTTTTATTCTTAAACAGTTTTATATATAAATTTTTTTAGAGATTGGAACTGCGATGTCGCAAGCCTCCAGCTTATCAAGATGCGAAAATTCAACTCTTCAACTCTTGAGAAAAAACAGCAACGATATGACGATGAAACAGATGAAAAGCTTAAAGATGGAAACATTACAACTTAAAATGGAATGTAGGGTTTCGGCAATCAAAGCTTAATCATCAGTCAAACGGGTTTGACGGTAAAAAAAATCCTCAAGTTCTTTTCTGCTGTCAACTGTGTATCGCAATTGCGGCCCGGCTTCAGCGTAGTCTCAGGCCGGGAAATGAACTTTTGGTGATTCTCTTTTAGCGGAGGGTTGTCGAGAGTCAAAAGCGGGAGGCTGGGCAAGAGTTTGATGTGATCTTAACAATAACAATATCACTCAAAGGTTACATTGTACTCTTGGTAACATTTACTATAAAAAAAAAAAAAAAAAACTACAAATATGCTGGCCGGGATTTTGAGCCTGATCCACGACAGAATGGTAAAGCACTTCTGGCCTCGAGGGCCTAGCGGTGGAGGCATTTCCTACACAGTACATTGGGATCATTGTCTATCTAGATATGAGAAAAACTTTCTTGCATTTATCTGCTTGGGAATCCCTCTACAGAATTCATGTTCGTTTAACTTAATTCTTTTCAGTAAAGGGGGTAGGTTTCTAAAGAGATTGTGGTCCTATCGGTGGGAGTATTGCAAGATAATTTGTTTTTATCAACCAAGTTGATAATGTAGAATGGCCACCGTGAAGAGATTTTTAGGCTCACGTTTCGAGCGTTAGCCCTTCGTCGGAGCGAATGACGAAGGGCTAACCCTCGAAACGTCAGTTTCAGAAACACCCTGCGGTGACCAGTTTACATTTTTAACTCGGTTAATTAAACCAAATTATCCTTTTTACCGGTACTTTTTTAAAGGTCAGATAGTGATTGATGGTAAAAAATTTTCACCCTTTCTTCATGATCAGCAAAGCTCCTCAAAAGTCTTGAAAGAAATAAACAAAATTCTTTGATGTGTTGCCTCAGCACTCTCTACTTCACGTAAACTTGATTTCTCGTTTCTCACCAGAAGGATTGAGATTGCTTTCATTCTATTTATTTCCGTTTCATTCATTTCATTCCATTCATTGCTTTCATTGCTTTCACTGCTTCCTTTCATTCCGTTCGCATTCAAAATTGAACCACAGTTTTATGTCCCCCTATGCTTTCAGTGTGAAAATGTACAACGGCGACTCGAGTATACTTGGAGCTCGAGGGCTCGGGGACTAAAGAAGTGAGAGGGAAGTCAGCTGAATAATTGACTTTCTTGCTCGCTCTCTGGTATGTTGTCAATGACCTTCAATTAAACACTTCACGAGCTCTATAATAGGTATTCTTCAATACGTGGCTCAACATTTTTAGACTTAAAACACATTTTACTGAACGACTTTTTAACATTTTTATATTGCTGGAGACTTTTTAATTTTTTTGTACAGTAATGATTGATAAAACATATTTGTGATGTATCAAGTTCAGACTATTCCTCAATGAAAGCCTTATTTAAAAAGTACGGACAAGTGGACATTTCGCACACGAAGAGGCGGAAAACTGAGCTATTTCTCTCCGCCTGGTATAGTTAAATTTGGCAAACGCCGCAAGCCTTTTTACAATCTAGCTGAAACATTGGATGGCTGGAGCAGAACTTTGACCACTTGATGCAATATTCAGCATCCAGAAGATTTCTGCAAACTGAAATGTAAATGGAAGAGTATCAGTAAAGTAGTTGTCACTGAGCCTTCTCCTATGGGACCTCAAACCGCCGTCTGTCTAAATCGACCGTGAGAATAAGTAGCTGTGGTACTTGTGGTGATGGGCTAAATCGATGTAACGAGATAGTGAGGGGAGGAAAGTTTTTAAATAAGTATTTTAAGTATTATTGATCTCACTTGTTTATGGAATCAAGCCAGATGGCTGCGACAGTTTCTTCATCGGAGATTGTGCGACTTCAGGACCGATCATTTATTTATCACCTGGGGGGAGGGGAGGAGGGGGTGGATGAGGAGTTTGGTTGTGATACGATAAAATATTTCTGGTACCCCGTAGGGCAGGGGTACTATAATATTCTTGTGAACCCCCCATCACTGACTGTCCATTGGGAGTCAATTCTCTAAAGAACCCTTTTACACCGGCATTTATGGCGACGACTGATTCCCCTCCGATCCCCCTTGAAACCGTGTGATTTCCCATAAAATCCCCCTTCCCCTCCCACACTAGGCGACAAACAACGACTGGTCCCTAAATGTACCCATCTTTGAATAATCAAATAAGTACTCATACACAAGCCAGAGAGGAAAAGAGTGTTCCTCTCCAGTAACACAGTGACACTTTCCACTAACTGTCTACGAATGGAAAGTATGGTTCAGTCACCTTTGTGACAATAATGTTCTTATGTAATTAATAATTATTACATTAATATTAATAACATAATTAATAATACAAAAAAATTAAAGTACATAATTAATTACATAATTAATAATGAATTAATAAATAAATAGATAAATAAATAAATTATTAATTAATAAATTAATAATATTATTAATAATAATACTTAATATAAATATTATTTATAATTATAATTAATTATTATTATTAATAATTATTATTAATAATATTATTAATTAATAATGTTCTTATTTTCCACTAACTGTCTACAAATGGAAAGTATGGTTCAGTCACCTTTGTGACAATAATGTTCTTTTGGCTTTGGAATATTCTTTGACGTGTCAGCTAACTTTTTGCCTTTTTTTCTGTATTTCATCACGCTGTCAATAACTTACCTAACCCCTGCCAAAAGTATTAATTTTCCTTTTAGTATCGATTCTAATGATGGGTCGAGTTTGAGTATTACATTTATGTTAAAAGCAACTAGCCGCGATAGCAGTTCAAAATTTACCTTAACATTCTTTTGATCCTGCAACTCCACTCGGAATTAAGTTTTTCTCCTTGTATTCATTAACATTTCTACTTTGGTTGGGGGAGGGAGGGGGTGGGGTTAGAGAAATTTTGGTTGTATTACGATAAAATTTACCTGATTCTCCACAGGCCCCTCAAGGCGAAAGATAATTGCTGTCTCTCATCCAGCCCAGAGAAAATAAAAGCCACATACACATAGCTTCGACAATGTCTTGTTTCATTATCTCACTGCTGTCGCTCTTTATCAAAACATTATTTTCGAATTGCTTTAAGTGGTTGCACGAGTTCTTTTGATAGTCTCCTCATTGTTAGGTAGGGGAGTCAGAGCATGTGTGTGTGTATGTGGGGAGAGGGAGGAGAGTCTGAGTATGTATGTGGGGGGAAGGGTAAGGTGAAGTGGAAAGTGTTTCGTATTTCATGCTTAGCTTTGACAGGCTAACACCGTACGAAGGCGTTGCGGACGACAGAGTGATGGAACTTGAAGATTTAACTATCAACCATGCATTGAGGGACCCAAAAGTTAATTGTGGATGGATTTTTTCTGAGGCCAGCCAATATCAGCCGTCAAATCTCTCAGTTATTCGTGATTAGGAAGTAACTATGAAAAGAAAGTTTTATATGTAACCTGATGGGTCCTTAATTCATCATGTTTAACTTTCCACCCTATTTCATTTCATTCGATAAGTACGTGTAGTAATCGACGATTTTAGGAGATGAATGAATGAGAAAGTCGAACGAAAATCGCAATTTGATCATCTTATTACTACGGTTGTATTGTTTAAATACTTTTTCCAATGCATTGTATAAACATATAATAAGGTTTAAAATGTTGATATTACTGATGCATTCAAATCAGAAGTCGGTTTCTGTTTGGAAAGATTATCTTAATCTTTTGAAAACGAATACGGCTATCGGGTTCAATACTCAAACAAGTTCAAAGTTCGTTCTATTAGGGATTGGAACTCTTTACCTAGACTTTGAGAGTTTTGGACAGTTACTCACGTTTTATATTTAAGACAACGCTTTCTAAAATAATTTTAGTCACAGAAAAAGGACTTGAGTTTTTAACTTTAGACGATATTATACACATTTTTAATTTTTTTATGTCTTTTTGCTCAAGGTTTGGTTGCTCTAGTATAAATATTTTTTGGTGTTTTGAGGGCCACTGGGTTATCAGTTGTTCATACTATCACGTGCTACCCTCGTGAAATAAAGTCACTACTACTACTGACTACTACTACTACTACTACTACTACTACTACTACTATTACTAACCATTCTTGTACTCTAAAAGCGACTAGCGGGTTCAATAATCAAATAATCAATCCATTATTGCATTCCTACTGAACTACAAGCGGGTTCAATGTTCAAATAATCAATTCATTGATTATTATGTAATGGAGTACGCTCCACTTGGTTTGACTATAAACGCCACAGTGGTACTAGAAGAAGTCACTCTCGAATACGTGGCTTAGTATTTTCAGAATCACAACAATCTTTACTGAGCTCAACATGACTTTTAAAACGTATAGAACAAGAGGAAGAAAAGCTAATTTTCTAAAATCGGTAGTGTTATAAACTTAGAACAGATTAGTGTCAGACAAATGTCTGTGCGTATTTTTACACAAAATTGAAGCTATTGTTTATATAAACGCGAATATTTTGCGAGATGCTGTTATCAGCAATGACCAAAATTTCTGCTCGTGTTGGGCCCAGACTCGAGCATCTTCATAGTCTATGATATTTGAGCGAGGGAGGGACGAAATTGATCCAAAACTCAGTAGAGTATTTTTGTTTACATAATTTTACATAAACATATAATCGTGCTCTGACCTTTTTAGAAAATGGGAAAGTGTACAAAACAAAGCGGGAACGTATGTTAATGGGATTCTTCAGTTTCTGATACTACTAATTGCAAAGGGAATTAGCCTGTGGAAAAGTGGAAATCGAAGTATTCTGTTGATGCACTTTCCCTCTACAGATTCAGAAGCCTCACATATTTATTTCTTCATCACGTTGATAGTTTCACGTCAGTTTTGTTTCTTCTCGTCCGCATTCTCGCCTGACTTCACAAGCTAGTTTATCTTTTGGGCTCTAACATGTTTGTGTGTCTCTCCCTTTCTTTTGCGCATTTTTCTATAATTTACATCACTGAAAATTATGATCATTTTAGAAAACATCATCACAACAATTTCACTTGTCCAAAGTGGCCCGGCCATTTGTTACTCTCTAAGGCCATATTGTCAGAGGGAGTAACGGATAACCGGCATCGTTAAGTGACTTGGTGAGCTCTTTCGGCTTATGGGTGAAATCTCCAAGTCCTACAGGTGAACTGATTGGTTCAGTCTGCCCGTCAAGTAGACTTAGTTAAATTTCTCGGAAAAACCTCAATTGCTGCGTGGCTAAAGATACCCGGAAAACGTCTCCATCTTCTTAGAACAGAAAAAACAGCTACGATTAGATCGAGATAATGGAGTGCATTTGTTCGTTCTATGCCATTTGTTAAGGCAAATGAGAGGAACGACTAAGAACAGTTGGAAATATATATTCCATCAACCATCGCTACAAAGTGTAAAGTCACAAAAATCAGCAAAAAGTCAAGTGTGCATGTATTCCAAAGTACTACAAGTATGCAAGCACATCTATGACCTTTTAACTCCACGGAATGTTCTTGGCTCGTTCTTGGCTAAAAATAGCTTGTTTTGAACAGTCTAGTACATTTCGACGTGCATCTAATGTTTTTGCGAGTCGTGACTTGTTTGGGCACGTTTGTTGCATAACTCTTCTTAATCGTTTTTCATTAGCATTTAAGGCGTGTCCTAACAGGGAATATAACACCGCGCCATAAGACGCACATTGAAATGAACTGGAGTGTTCAAAACAAAAGTTTTGTTAGCCAAAAACATTCTGTGAAGCGAAAAATACGAATTCGCTCAATTATCTTTGGAATAATTTAGTGAAATTGTTAACATCTTTGCAGATCAAGAAACAAGGAAAAGACTCCTAAAGTATTGTGACACCAGGCTAACGAACGTACGAGACATGGAGGAACAAAAACCCAATAGCTCGCGAAAGGTTTGTTACTCGATTGTGTAGATACCACTCCGTGGTCGGCGCTTTTTAACGAGGTGATGTTTTTCGTATTTTTGATCGAATTCATACCTAAGACTGTATAATCGATCTAGGCTGTTTCATTCTGATAAAATGGACTTTTTCCAGGGTCCTGTCGTGAAACAAACTCGCCCACCTCTCCGAGGATGACTCGAATAACTGCTTTCAACTTAAATAGTCAATTGATTCAAACCAATCACGTTAGTACTCATCCCGGCCGAAATACCGAAACAGATTCAGAAAACCAGTGGTGCCTGTATACTTCTTCCTTTTTTTTTTCACACACACTATCAGCAATGAATTGTAGTTCAGTAATGGGGTGCCATGGTCATGGATTTTGCGATCAATTGCTGATTTTTTGCGTGTACTTGAATGCAGGCTGTTGGTAGCTCAAGAAGATTACACGCGCGTCAAGCGCTTGAATTATGCTGTTGTTCTTCAGTGAGCGTAGCTTTACAATTATAGATAAAACACATGGCAGCATTTCATTTCTGCCTGGGAACTCCTAGCTTAGTTTTCATTTTATGCCAATAAAGTAAAGTTTTACGGAACCGTTTCAGTTCTTCCGTAAACCAGGCTCTTTGCCTGAGAAAGGGTCTTTGCTGCAAAAAACCGGCAAGAATCGATGATTTTCTGTATTATCTCACCTCCTTGACCTTGCCTCAGCTCATTGGAAGCAATGCCACATAAGTTGCCGAGATGAGGGATATGGAATTCCCATCTTGACCCAATTTTGACCCAAAATATCCTGGAGCCACTTATTGTTTTTTTTATGGAGTATCTTAAAAGTTCGACGTTAGCACTCGATACACAGTTGATTTCTCTCCTTTTGTGATTTCTGGATTATAGTCATTAACACATTATGTTTTCAGTTCTTGCTTTGACTACGGAAGAGAGCAGAAAGCGACTCATATGAAAGTCACGCTTAACAAAAGGCTCTATCGGATATCGCGTGACACCCGCTGTAACGCGACCGACTAAAGAATCAGCGAATTTTGGAAGATTTTGCTCTCTCTCTTTCGCTTAAAGAACGTTGTCGTTCTGTTACCTCCAGATTATAAAAGCAAAATTGTTAAGCTTTACGTAGAGGTGCAAATTATACCGTTAAACAATAATCTTGTACTGGCAAATAAATATTTTGTGTTGCTGACTCGCGCTATTTTAAGAGGTTTTGATTTCATTTTTTCGAGACAAGGCAAAGACTCTGGGCCGAGGTTTGTACAACGCATGCTCAAATGTGTGCGTTACCGCCAAATTCGAAAAGAATAATAAATTCCGCGTATTTTGATGTATAATTCATAAGGGTGCGGTAAAGTTTCGGCCTGGCAAATGGGCCTTGAAATCAACGCTTTGGTTCTATTTCTGCTGCTAACCTTTATAAACAGCGCGAGTGCGATAGAACAGGAATTCGATGGAGCGGAATCCGGAGATGTCCCTTCATTTACGTACGAAATAAACAAGTAAGTATAGATTCAAGTTTCGTGTATTTCTTCGAAGATTCATTGTGTTAAAGATCCTTTTCTATCTTGTTTGGTAGCTACCTCATCTATACAGTCTGTAAAGAATTAGAGGGGAAAATCGACGACTTAAGTACTGAGTCTGCTTGGTCGGCGAGAATAAGAAGAATTTTTGAAGAGTCTGCGCTGAAAGGTTTAATCTTAAACAATCGTATCGTAAATGTCTTCAAGAAGAAAATTTCGCTTCTTCTCTCGGCGTTGAGGAAAGCTGGTCAAAAAGGTGGTCGCCATGTTAAGAAGCTTAAAGAAAAGTGGCAGAAAGAGACGTACTCATTCAAGATATTCTATAATGAAATTGAAGCGTGTCAGCTACAAGAGGAGAACAGAGGTTTGCGCGGACAAAAGAGAAAGCTGGAAGCATCCCTTGCAGATGAACAGGCGAAAAGGCTAAAGGTAGAAGAGAAACTCGAACAAGTGCTTAACAAAGCAGAAAAGGACGAAAAAAAATACGAAAAAAAATTTAAGATTCTAGCGCGTAAAATTGCGAAACTGCAGAGAGACGGAAAGAGAGGGCCGGCCAAAAAGAAAAAATTTACCGATTATACGAAACAGCATCAGTCACGTCTTCGACAACAGATGAAGGAAAACTGTCAGGCAACATTATCCTTCCTTGGATTGTACGATTTTATTGCCACAAAAGTAGAAGTTTTCAATGGCGAAACTCAACAGTACGAGACATTTTCCTTAATTGATGAAAACGAGCTGCCACTAAAGGACAAGGACTCAACGGAGCTGACAGATGAAAATTTGGATGAAATTAATATGTGGATCTACATTAAAGATAAATTTAACATTTCTAATGAGGCTTGGCATGAGCTGGCTATGAAAACCAAACAGATGCCAAACAGCTATAAGCTGGAGAAGAAATTGAAAGAACTTAATGCAAAATGGAATCTTCAACCTACACCTGGCCAAGCCGAGGGAGTCCAGTTAAGTTTTAAAGAAAGTTTAGAGGAACAAGTAATCAGGCTTCAGGGGAAAGGAGTTTTGAACATTAACACTAAAATCAAAGTTAAAATTAGTGGGGATGGGACCAACATTGGGAAAAGGCTCAAAATTGTTAATTTAACTTACACAATATTAAATGAAAGAGATATTGCAATGAGTGAAAAAGGCAACTATATTCTTGCCATAATCAAAACTACTGAAAGCTATGATAATTTAAAGGCAACCCTTGCAGATCTTAATGATGAAATGCAGAATCTAAAGCAAATATGTGTGGGTGATTATAAATGTGACATTGAATACTTTTTGGGAGGGGACTGGAAGTTCTTAGCTTGTGTGTGTGGTTTGGGTGCAGCAAATCAGGACTATGCCTGTATTTGGTGCAAATTCTCAGGTCTACGAGCAGCAGTGGCAATACTCACTTCAAAGACCTCCTCCACAGAAATTTCAATCCTGATTTCTGGATCGTCCTTCCTTCCAGAGTATAGCTTTCGCTTCACTTCCCGATACAAGCGGTCTTGGAAGAGATGCAAACGATCGTCTATGGATTCCATGGATGGTTTACATTTATGTTCCAACCGCATAATAGGAAATTTATCACCATCATATGGCCTCCATTCGTCAAACTTATCACTAAATCCGTTACAATGTATTTTTACTCGCTTGCCTTCTTTGTCGACCTCTTTCGACTCGATTTCGTAAAGGCGATTGTCCTTTTGACGCTTTGGTATTCTGCCCTCGTCAGCTACAGCTTTTAACGGGTTTACTTCGTTGATTAATCGCTTCGGCGCTTTGATTTCTCTTTTTACTCTGGCCGCCATGTTTGTTTTTATCGTTTGCGCATAAAACTTTTGGTCATTCGCGCATGCGAAATATGTCCGCGAGAGTCTGGATGCAAGTCAAAGCAAATGTTAACCCTTCTATGAAATGACTTTGATATCACCATCTCACAATAATTTCAGGATTGTGCGCGATTGAAAGCATGAGTTTTCCTTACAGAAATATCTTATTAGGTGTGATCAGTGCATCCTAAAACTTGGAGGAAAATGTTTTTCTTTCAAGAGAAAGTATTTTGCTGTTCAACTCAGTAAATTATGCAGATCCGAAGATATAATCTTTGCTCTTCTTGTCGTAAGTGACGCTACAGAAGAAGACATATAAACATCTCAAAATAATTAAACAGTGGCATTCAACGATAATAATTGAAGTCGAAACTTTTCCTCACAGAAATATCTCAATAGACGTGAACAGCTGCACATCAAGTAAGCTTTGAGGAAAATTTTACTTATAAATATATGCGATGCGGGAGGTTTTCTGCTTTGCATGTGAGACAATTGTTCGGCAACACTACCTTCTGGCATCGTTATCAAAGCTCTGATCTGGTTATTTTTAATGCTGTAAAACTTGTGCTATACTGGTAGCCACATGCAGTCTTAGACTGTCTTTTTTTTCTTTTGTCTGTTAGTCGTGCTTGACATGTCAGTCATGCATGTTAGTCATGCTTGAGCGAAACTGTTGAGCCTCTAGCAAGTCATAGGTAGGTTACTGTGGTAAAAGCAATTGGGGCAAACGTGGCGTGAGAGTTTGGAACTTGCTTGAATTTAATAAGCACGTCAAGGCTTTGTAACTATTCATTACTCAGCGTCCTGTTTCTATTTCTACACCACAACTTTATTGAGGGGTTCATACAGAATTTTACTCCGTACTCACCCTTACATTTTTGTCCGACTGAAGTACACGGTCAAATTATTCGTTGCAGTAGCTTACGCTACTAAACAAGAAGTTCGTGTTATCGTCACTGAGGCGGCGGAGCGTTTTCAAACTTGAGGGGAGGGGGGGAGGGCAGGCAGCATAAGAATCTCGAAATGCAAAATCGTGAAGATAAAATTGTTTTGCTCCGCCAAGTATCTAGACAAAATTTGACTCCGCCAAATTTTCAATTTGTCAATTATGCGCGCATTGAAAAACTGCAAAATTCCAGAAATTCCAGCTTTTTCTACATACCTCATTGCATTGTCGAACTAATTTTCGAAAATTTTCAATTCGGTCTCAAGGTCCTAAGTTTTTCAACACGCTAAGTCGGGAAATTCAATACTCTGAAAGCATCAGCTTGTTTAGCAAAAGGCTTAAAAAAATTCTTCTTTCTTAGTTAAATATATTCTTTGTAAAACTACACACCTTTTGTTTTTTTTATCTTTTGTTTTGTTTTTTTTTTTTTAACTTAATCTGAATTTTCATCCAACGCCTTTGATTTGTATGGTTTATCCTATAATTTAAGGAAGCCTATACTTTATAAGCCCCCGGCTTCTAATAGGTTTCCTTCCTGTTACCTCTTTAGTTCCTTTGATTTTGAAGTTAGTTAATTTAGTAAGAATAGTTCTTTTTATCTTTGATGTATCATAAATTTCTTATTCGGTTAACTTTTTTTTCTGGCAATGGTAAATTAAATGAATGAATGAATGAATGAATGAATGAAAATGTTTGTAAATCATCAAATAAACTGAGTAGTACTTGGACCTAGGGTTTAAACAAAGAACAACAAATCAATACGTTTCGTAAACAGATTCATTTGTAACATCTTGATTTTACGTCGCGCAACAGTGACCATCGAGAAACCTGTCACTTTCCACAAATTATGTAGAAGAAAATTAATTTCGTCCGGTTAGATTTCGATCCCTTTGCAGTCTATGTATCGAAAAACAAGCTTGCATGAATATTGATTGACTCGTTAAGTATGAATAATCAGCCGGTTTCTTGGTTAGACCAGAACTCACAATGAGCCTAGGAGTTGTATTTGATCGCATTTTCCTACAACATTGTAGTGGGACGACCTTGTTAATTGACTCTGAATACATGCAATCGTTTTTACGGCGTCTATCAAAGTCCTATCCCCTAAGCTTTCATGCTGCAACAATGGTCGCCAAGTGAACCTTTCTTTGTAATACATGGACAAAGATATGGCGAACTCATGCTATCTCCAGGGTCATCAACCTAGGACCGAAACGATTTTTAATTAGAGCTTGAGGATGTTTAACTTACCTCTTTCTTTTTTTATGTTTCAGAAGGTGAGCATGGCGGGACTTTTTAATAGAAAAGGAAAGGGAAAAGGTTTGTTTCAATGAATTTGAATATATGAAAATCATATATGTGTACTGTGGTTTTAAGAAATGTATGAAAGCGATCCTCGCAGTAATAAAAACTGCTTATGAAGTAGTGAAAATAAGGTCTGAAAAAAAATCAGGCCCGTACGGGATTTGAACCCATGGTCTTTGCGATACCGGTGCAGTGCTCTACAAACTGAGCTAACAAGCCAACTGGGTGATGGCCATTATGTTGGTTTTGCTACTCATGAAGACCACTGTAAATTTTTAGATAGAAACGAGTTATTTTGCAAGAAAAATTCTCGTTGGTCAGCAAAACAATAAGTATATATGACATCATATAAACATTAATTTTAAGCTCTTAATGGTAACCGTTAAAAGTCAGGGTACCTCACTTATGAATGGGAAAGCGGGACCCCTCATTAGAATATGAAATCTTGTTCTCGTAACAAACTAGTGATTTTGATTCATAGGAAATGACAAAAAAGACGAGCCATTATTGCAAATTTCTCCAAGTGGACATTCCACATCAGCATCTGTTCTTTCTCAGTCGACGCCATCACTGCTGGCTCAACCGCAAGTAGAAAATTCATCAACGCCGCCGCCACGGCCTGCACAGGATTCTTCATC